GGGAGGGGGCACCCGGGGGCTGGCAGTGAGCAGGCAGCAGGCGGGCAGCAGGAGACCGCGGGCAGGGAATTGGGGCCGGCAAGGGGGTTGGCCCCAGAAACTGGGAACTGCTAGATCCAGACAGAAGGCAGGAGGGATATGGAGGTTGGTACTGAGAAGGAAAGAAAAGATCCAGAACTAGGTGCCAAGAGGCCGCCCACCCCCATAGTTGTCCCGCCCCGGCTCCTCTCCCTCCCCTCACCCCCCAGTTTGGCTGCCTCTCCTGGCCTGGCCCAGAGCCTGGGGCGCGGCACTGGCAGGCGCAAGGGGCGAGCCCTGTGCCAGGGCTGGAGAGGGACCCTTCCCCTAGGCTCTGTCCCCCAATCTGAATCCGAAGCTTCGGGCCCCAAGTTGACTGGGTTCTCCTAACCCATATGTAGCATGGGAGCGATGGGAGGAAGGTCTTCCTAAAGCCCATGGGCTTAGTGCCTTTAGATATGGGAGGGAAGGGAGAGCACAGGTAGGCAGTGGGATGAGGAGCAGAACTGGACTCACTCCAGAGCTGGAGCTCCCTACGTCCCCCTCCTTGCAGCTGTGAAGTCCAGAAGTCTGACTGCTCCAGAAGGGACTAGGGGGCCCCATTCTGCCACAACTGCCCTAAATCTTTTAGAGTTGGAGAGGACCCTTGCCCAGCTCCTGGCTTCCCACATCCCAGCCTCCTGGTCTGCAAACAGGTGGGGACAGGGAGGAGTGAGGGGATCAAGAGGACCAGGGTCATAACTGAGGATCTCAGGACTTAGGGGAGAGGAAGGGATTGTGGGTACCCACCAGCAGGAAACTGACCTGAACTGGATCCCCTGCCCAACTTCCCATCCTATCTTCCACCTCTCAGGGTTGAGTATGGAGACTTTAAAGTGAGAATGTTCATACCCATGGAGGAGTCACCAGACACCACCTGCCTCAGTCTCTCCTTCTGCAGCCCAGAGTCAGCCAGATCATTCAGGGCAAAGACAGCAGAGGTGTCTATAGACATTTGGAAAAATATATCCTTCCCTTGACGCTGCCTCCCCCACCCTCTGTCTCTCATCCTAAGACCTCCAGAGTCCCATCCCAAGGTGCCACCGAGGGGGCTCCCAGCCGCACCTGCAGCTCACACCAGGCCACCTCCACTGTGGTGTCGGTGTCTAGCCCTCGATACACCGTCTTGAAGGAGCCACGTCCAATCTCGATGTCAAACTTGAGGTATCGGCCATCGGGGGACGTTGCCACAGCCTGGGTCTCCATGTCCTCCTTTTCTTCCTGCTCCCGCCGCCGCTCTAGGGCCACAGCTTCAGGGACCCTCAGCGGCTCCCTGGACCCCGGGTCCACTGCAGAGTCCGGAAGCTCGGGACGCGCGGAGTCTTCTGCAGCCTTCACAGGGGCTCCCTTGGTCCACGTGCCCTCGGAGGTTTCTTTGGAGCTAGGCGGTGGGCTCCTTGCGGGGCCAGGACCAGAGGAGTCCGGAGGATCGGGGGGTTCCGGAGCGGGTGAGGGTGGCAGGGACCAAGAGCTCAGCAGCCCCAAGTCGACTGAGCTACGGCGGCTGACACGAGAAGAACGCGGCCGAGGCTCAGCCTTCCCGGAGAAGCGGCGCGCTCGGCGAGGAGGGGGCCCGAGGCG